CTTACCGGTATGTTATTATCAAATACTTCCTGCCAGACAAGTATTCTTCTCTTGTTTTTCAAATTCTTTACAATCGCATAAAGCCTAAACGCAGTGGTGTTAACAATTTTCTAGCGACACACTTCTATTTATTAATTTTTGGTCCTACGTCACATTTGCCTCAGTAATATAAACAATTCTGCGTAAACAAAAGTGATGCTCTTTAGTACTGTAGATATTTAGTAGCTGGTTTCTTTAATGCCGAATGATGAGGGAAGGGTAATCACTGCTACAAGCACTATAGCTCACTTTTCGAAGAAGTAATTCTCAAGAAGAGTAGTGTCGTTACCGAATGACTTTTCTTCCATAAACTTCCGGATTTTGGGATTTCTCACCCTGAAAACAAAACTAATTACACCTAGCTCAACGGTACATTCTCTTACGACTCTCCAGCATTCCTCAATGAAATCCTCGACCTCATCCCCTCCAAGGTGCAGAAACTCATCGGGAAACGTTGTCACCACTTCGTCGAGAAACTCCTGAAATATTTCTTAGTAGCTAAGTTGACCTCTTTATCTTTGCCTTAATTACCTCCAGAAATTCAAAAGTTGAGTTGTTACTGGGGTCGACGAGATTAGGTAAATGGGTTTCTTTTCCAGCAGAGTCGAAGCATTCTGTCAGCAGCCCTGGTTGTCCCTGCCACGCTCCCGTGTGGCCTAAAGTTTCATCCACGTTCAACCAAACTAGGACAGCGCAATTATTACCTGGTAAATCGAATTCAGGGATCACTCGGATTCCGCGAATCCTAGCAAAATTGATGATCTCCTGGACGTCACTCGGTGAATATTGGTGTTTAGGTGAATATGCACCCTAAGGTAAACAGTCTTGTGATTTTAAAAATTTTTTCCCTGCCCTTCTAAAGTATTCCAAATCCAAGGTGTGTCCCAAAATTCTATGCTTTCAGCGGCTTTGTTTACTCATAAGCAGTTGAAAGGAACTCACTACTTTTGAAAGATTTGGGAATCTCGTGGAGACGTAAGGAAACGCTTCACTGTCCACGAGGTGCCAGTGCAAAACATTCATTTTGTTCATTGCCATAATTTCCTAACATAGTTATGTTTAATAATCCATCATACAAACTATTTGATAGATGTTGCAACTGAAATAACGAAAGCAAAACAGAAATTTACGTACCAGTTGTCTCTTAATGACTTTCATTGAGAGGAAATGCCTAGACGTATCAATCATTAAACCTCGAAGAGGAAAACGAGGAAAGTCGTGAATTTCGACTGTTCTGATGTTGTACTGAAAATGAT